TGCATTTAATAATTTATGATATCAAAAACAAAGTTTTTTTTATTATTTAAGTTGTGTTCTTAATGGCGTTTGTCCTCAAGAAGTGTTTATTATTAGTGTAAAATTATTAATTATACTTAAATAAACAGAGTGAAATATAATACTGTTACGAAATAAACCCATACACCACCCCGTTACGACGCCTATGGACCATCGAGAGTTTTCTAGGATGTACGACAATGACGGGTGACTCATCGTTGATGATGCGGGCGACCGGCGTTCGAAAAGCCTGGAAGCGGAAGACGCGATGCGTATTCGAGAAAGACCGCGACTCCGAAATATGGGTTTAAATAGAGGCCACCTTCGATAACGATGGATTATTCAGCCAACTGAGTCAAGAGAAGTTGCGCCGGAATTATTTTATAATCGCTGTAATAGATAGTCGTGTAGATTCGAGTCAGAAAAAAATAAATTGTTGAGTTTAACCTACGCCGATTTTAATACCCGTTTAACGTAACAATACCAAGCTTTTTTATAACAAAATGCAAGTAGTTACACTTTCAAGTCTGAATCTAAAACAAAACAAAGTACAGTTTTGCAGTGGTTAAGTTTAATTACCTTATTTGATTTTTTAGCATGTGTTGACAGTAAACGAACAGACACTTGTTTACTTCAAGCTCTTTTGGCATACGAGAAGACTAAACTCTGATCAATTTAATTTGTCTATTTGACCACTAGGCTACTGTGGAATCGTTTCTTCATATTACATTGAGTTTAACCAGTAAAAAAGGTGAAATTTTACTAGGGTAGTGTTATTGTCACTTTTGATAGAAAACTAAAAAAAAATGGTTGAAGTTTATTTCGGCAGAACTTCCCTAGCACCTGAAGTACAGTCCAGGAAATCCCGCTTCTTTGAAAAATTTAAAAAGCGGACAGTGTATAATATATTTAAAGCAGATAATCAAGGAGAAAAATCCCCTCTCAGTAATAATAACATCGAGTGTTTACGTTTAGACTTCCAAAAAACGCAACGATTAGCACGGTCAGACACCAAACAACAGTGTCCACAACACAGATAATGCTAGTTAGCGCATCACCAGTGCAAGAGAAAAATCTGTGGCATAAACGACACCCCTGCAGCCCCTGCGCAGTGCGGGTGCAAATTGAAATCATCGTTAACTGTTTTTATCTAGACATCAGAGATTTGTCAACATGATTGCATTTTTGTTGGATAATCAAATGACAATGCTACGTTAAGCATAATTAAAATCACAAAACATGTCGACTCACAATATCTTTTTTTTATATGAGACTTTATTCAATAATTAAATTATTATTCTAATCTAACATTATGATTTTTAATACAGAATGTGTTTAAATTGTTATTTGAAGTTTAGTTACGTTTGTTTTTTCATGCCTTCACTTTCGTGTTACAGTGTATTTTGTTCTCAAAAAGTTGTAAGTTAAATTATTGGTAGGTGTACATGATGCTCAAATTTCTATTGTTGTTTTAGGGTAAATTTGTTAATGATAGTGGAAAGATCACGAAGAAGTTTTATTTCGTTCATTTTAAACCACCATCAGTCAAAGTTGACTTTCGGTGCTTCATTTTATCTCATTTGCACCTGTTACAAAATGTTGTTGGATGTTTAGCCTTTCCTTCAAATATGGGATAGATGTCTATTGGGTTTAGCAACAATGCCACAAAACCATTTTTCTCACAACTCCTCTGGATCGGTAGTTTCTGTTTTTTACCTTTTTGATAATTTTCCGTGGTATTTATATTTTTACTTCCTGAACGTATAAAGGAAGTATTGTAACATCAACATCCACACAGAAAAAAGTCGTGTAAATTTACAATTATTTTACTGTTGCTTTTTATGTATTTTTTTACTTAAATTTAGTAAATTTACGTAGGTTAGCAGCATTGTGCATAAAATAAGTAAACTTGTGTCACTATTTGTATTTTCACAAGTCAAATTGAAAAAACACAATACAGAATCGCAATTGTAAATGTATATTCACTTTATAAATGAATTATACTTTATAATACCGTAAATATACTAACATTTTTTACAATTACTTCCAACTTTGTAAAATAATCCAGTCTACCGGTGAAATCACATGCATACTGTGAATTGTTGATGCGCACGCAATCATTACTATAACGCTTGCAGGTTATAACAAGTTGGAGTGCATTAGTTGTGGTAATATATTTTGTACAAAATAGTGTATTTTGTTGTTAAAGGTAAGTACTTTACTATTCTGGTTTACTATTTTCCTCCAGTTACAAAAGTACACTTTCCAGGCGGATAATTACTTACTATAATTTGCCCATGTCATCTTTAATTGTTATGTTAATGCAATTTTTATCACAGGGTGATGATATGAATAATTTAAATGAAATTATCAAGGTGGCTGCGCCATGTGTAATTGAAAGAGGCAAGTATTTAAAACGTCTTTGTACCTATAACATTTTAATGTATTTTTGTATTTTTCTAGAGAGCGATCCACAAACAATTTATCACGTAGTTTTAGAACGACAAGTAGTGATTCCAAGTGTTGTCACTTTAAAAGATGCAGTATCTTGGGCGTTTGGATTATATTTTATAATGAATTTAGAATATCCAGACGAAGTATCAGCAGTTTTGGAAATGATGCAAAGATTTTTTTTGAAAATACATCCAGATCAAGGATCCAAATCAAAAAGAATAACACCAACAAAACGCAAAGTAATTGGCCTTATGAACAAATTAAATTAATGTAAAGTATATACAACATCAATGACTTTGTTTTGTGTTTATGATTTTATTACATGTTTATTATGTTTTTCACTATAAAATAAAAGGTTCACTTTGTCCGACATGGTTTCTTTGATTAAAACTAGTACTAAAAATAACAATAATTTGTGTAAATTTACATATCAATTCACGGAAATTTACATACCAATTCACGGAAATTTACATACCCATTCACGGAAATTTACATATTTTATTGTAAATTTACAATCGTCAAAATTACATTTTACTTGTAATTTTACATGTTCTTTTGTAATTTCGATTTACATTCAAAAAGTAAATATCACATTCAAACTTAAAAATACATTTCGTTGGAATATTACCCTTATTATCTCGGGTTACAAATTACCTGTGATTTTCACAGTAAATTTACAAGTAAACTTTTTTCTGTGCATCGGGTGTCTGGCTATTTTCTTCCCCTAGGGTATAAAAAATAGGTCTTTCGTTTCCGTCTGTCTGTCTGTTCGACGTCTGCCGTATATGTTCATTTTAATGAAATAATCTTCGGAATTATCGGACTGATTGTTATTAAATTTTCAAAGTATGTTAGGAATACTGTGTAGATGGCAAAACGCTGACCAAAATTTGCCTCATTATCTCCCCTCAAAATTTTTGATAGTAAGCAGGATTTAAAATTTATAAAATAACATAATCCCTATCTTTAGTTTATAAATTTGCTTGAGGCATCCAAATTTTCGAAAAAAATAGAAATTGTATGCCAACATTTTATACTAGCATAAGCTGATCATTTACAAGGTTATTTGTCAGCTCATTACTTAAATCTGCGACTTAGGATTTGTAACGCTATTTAGTAATTTATGCCTGGCTTTTTTTTTTCAAACAGTTATTCTTTTTGAGAACTGTTGTAACCACAAACATTTTGACATGTGACTATGGTTTATCTTACTTGGAAATAATGGATCCTCTAGGTAAAAATTTCTTACAAAATAAGTTTTGTGTGAGTCTTAAAAGTTTGCTGTTTCGAATATGTCACACAACTACCAAAAAGTGATTTTTTTCATATTTGATGTTGTTTTGAAATATGGATTCTTTAATGTTTTTTAACATATAAGACAAAAACTGTAGATTAAAACAATTTACGGAAAGGTAAAATGACATGTACCTAAATAATAGAAATAAATAAATAAAAAGGTTTATGTAATAATTAATTTTGTCATATGAGTATATCACAAAATATACACTTAATGAACTAGTTCGCTCTATAATCTGCAGACGGGAAAGCAGGAAGTATCTTCCACAACGTCATCATGTTTGATTTAGCTTACAAACGATAGATAATAATAAAGTAGAGTTTTGTCTTATTTAGTTACATATTATCCATCTGAGTTCTTATTGTAGCAAACGAGTGTTCGGATTTTTTTATTATTAAATTATTACTTCTTGACATCTAAATACAAAATCTCTTTATTGTAGAAAATATCATATTTTGTGCATTTTGATATATTATAATGTAATAATAATTTATTGTGGCTTCACTTAGTAGTTGTATTAAAATAATACTTCATATTCCTTCAGGTGAAGCCATTGTAATATTGAAATTATTTTGTTAAAAGTGGGTTTTTCCTAATGATGTTATTAATTCAAATGCGATGGTTCAGCAATTATTGACGTTCTAGTTTTTTTGAACCGAACTTCAATTTTTAATTGTGCAGGAATGTAAGTGATACACTAGACTAACAATGTAAAATTCTAATCGATGGAGCTCACTTAATGTAATTAAAATTTCAAATATTAACATGATTAATTACAATAATTAATATTTAAATCTTAGTGAACCATTAAAAGCAGACTAGTCTGATAGCATCATAAAACTCCATTTTATGAATTATAAAACCGAGATTTTAATAATTACCGGCGCATCCACCATTTTGTTACATTTGAATTTTTATTAATGGCAGCTCTTAGCAATTTAATTACGCATTTACGAACAACAACTTTCTTACATCTTATGTCTAGTTTTGCGCTCTTAATTTTAAGCAATTTCAGTACAGCTCTCGGTGTAGATACATTATCTAGTGTTGCTAAAAGCTTTACGGTTGGCAGCACTGCAGTAATACACTAATGCGTGGGTGGGGTAAGTGACACCTTGAGCTGTCGGCAACTGAATAGTTGATGGATGATCCACTGGAGATGCCAGAGACAACCCTTTATAGCTTTCTACATACACAAAACTCAGAAATAGTGTGTTAAAGAAAAACACGCTTATATTTTCTATCGATTAATTTAATACTAGAAAAGATAGTTTAAACAACTGGAACGTTTGAATCGTTTTCTTTGTATGTAAGAATTTCGTACGAACTGACGTCGATCTCCTCATTTTTATACGGAAAGTAGAGTTTGGCCCTTCCGATAGTCCCAGAACAAACTTTCCCGACAATTAATTCACCTTGATATTTGATGCGGCCGATGTTGAGGACTTTTCCCCATTCTATTCCACCTGGTACTAAGTGCTTGTTGATGGTTGTTATATGCAAAGTTGACGCTTGTCCAGGTACCCACTCAAAATTGTGTTTGTGGTGACTGCACAGAATCTGGATGGAAAAGATGCTTATTATAAATAATAATTTTTTGTTTTTTATTTTGATAAATATGAATACCTTATTTCCTACGCTTGTTACATGGATTCCTTCTTTAGACGTGGTAAGAGTCTTTTGACCGGGGTAGATAGTTCCAATTAAAATTCCATGATGTAGGACAAAAGCTTGACCTATGTATGTGGGATTACCTCTTAAGTCTTTGCCACCTTCTACCGCGTCCTCGGGAATTTGTCCAGTGTATTCTCTCCAGTAGTAATCTAGAAAAGAAATATTATTTGCATTATAGTTTTATTCGATTTTAATTTTTACCAGGAGTGGAATGAGTTTGGTTAAGGCAAATAATCAAAACTAAAAACAACAGAACTCTCGCCATCGTGGTGTGGCGTTTCTTTGACCACTAACAGTATGTCGAATTCATGACCTTTTTATATGATAACACGGTTAGAGTGATTCCGATAAAAGTTCATCATTGGAAATACCCACGCCTTGCATGAGTAAATACTTTAAATGCGACAATTACATATTTTTCTAATTAATATTTTGATGCTTTTATCTCATAATTTTTCTGGAAAGAAGTTCTTTTCATATTAGTTTTCAAAAGATGTACTATCTTTACAGAAAGAACAGCAGAATAAACAACACATTCGAAGATAAATTACAAAAAAAATCAGTGGCAGTCAAGATATTAACTTTTTTTTTTCATATTCAAAAAGTGAGTGGGTCTGCATAAACTGTATTTTTCTATCAAGTACTAATTTTACCGCTCCAAGATATAGATGTAATCATATTTTAAAGTACAGATCTAACTGTGTTTTCTTCCCAGTTGACTGAAATGGTTGATTTATCAAAAAACGTACACGATTTTTTAGTATGTTAAAACTTATAGTTAGGGTCCTTTATTAAATTTTTTAAAATCGTTTTTTTTCGGCCATTAAGAGAACAATATGCACAACGGGGAAAATATCTAAGTAACTGACGTACTGTATTAGTAAAAATAAATATTTCTTTAAATAGTTATTGTTGTTGGGAAATGTGATGCTTACCACACATGTAACGAAAGTATCTTGTCTAAATTTACTGATCAAGTAATCATAGATATCATATTTTTGATATATGTATTTATAGATAATAATATTTTAAATCTATTTAACTGAGTTATTTCACGTTTAATTTGATACAAACCTATAATGCCACCTAAAGATTATAATTCAATTTTTTGTGGAACGTATGTGATGAGAGACGATGATGTAAAATTTATTTTTCCAGTAGTAGCAATATAAACTTTAAAAGAAATATGAAAATTCGATTATTGTTGATAATGATCTAATATCTAGAGTGTTATATCATAATTCGTAACTATGAAAGGATCGTCCAAATGTTTCTAAATATTCAATTAAAATTTTCCTTACTTACTGCAGAAACTAAGTCATTGAGGAAAGTGCTTATTTTCCTTACTCACTAGGAAATTAGGTAATTCCCCCAGTGGTGGTGTGGAAAGTACTGCGATGGTAAAAATAACGCTTAAATTAACACCGTTTGTTTTGTAAGACATTACCCTGGTGTACATCGTCAGAGTAAATATTCTATAAAATATCCACCCTCATCTATATTTATTTTTAAGTTAAAAGCTTAAAGTGCATTTAAATTTTTATACGTTTCAGGTATATTTTTCTTGAAGTACAGAGCAATCAAGTCTATGGGACGACTAGCCACTTTCATGCTTTCTCGACGTTTCATGAGCCCTAATGTACGAAAAAAGTGGTCTCTCGTTTCTGTCTGTCTGTCTGACTGTCTGTCTGTCTGACAGAAATATTATGGGATGACGTCATCGCCAAAATTGACAATAGTAACTGTTTTTTAAATTATGGAATAACATACTTGTGGTTTATGTATCTATGTTGCGTTTTTATCTTAGACATCCAGATTTTGAAACATTGTGCATTTTAACTTTGAGACTGTTAATCCGAACCCTGTAAAATCTTGCAAGCGGTACTCGTCTATCCCTTCTCAAAAATGATGATATCAGCTCAAAGTTTTGCCAAATAATTCTTTTCTAAAACATATAAAATATTATGGTATATATATTTACTTGTTGTTTTATGAATGCATTCATATTTTTAAGAATTACTTATACCGGGTGAATTATTGAATGAGGCGATTTATTTTATTGATCAAATTAAGAACGACTCACCCCTTATTCTCAAAACTTTGATTACACAGTACTATTATTATTGGTATTACATTCCACCTATTGAAATTGACCTATGTGTTCTTGATAAAGTGCTGTCTTCGCAAAATTTTCTTATGGAAATACTCACTTGAAACATACGCATAGCATAACCATAGTTTAACAGTCCACACGTATTTCTATTTTATTTTTTTATTTTTATTTTATTGAGTTAGGTTTTCAACAGGCCGAGGTCCAGTTAGAGAAAACCTGGCGTGTACAAACACCCAGAGTTAGGGAGGGAATCAAACCCACGACCCACCCGAGTCTTCACGTACAGGGGTTATAACAAAAAAAAAAAAAAATTGAATTGGCGAATTTAAATTTTAGTAGTATAATTTTTCGAATAATCTGTATTTATTCGCCTGTATTTCAGAGGTGAGGCGAACAACTCTAGACCAATTTTTTTGTTTTTACTTTAATTTAACTAATGGCTAATTTCATGTTTTCTCAATGTTTCGTGGTCTCTAAAATGTGGAATAGTACTTTCTGTTTTCGTCTGCACTGTCATGTGTCTGTTGTCCACAGCTTGGTTATAGTTTATAGGGTGTCATGTGTTGATGAATTTATTAGATCGGTAATTTCTGAAACTACTAGATTGATTGTCGTGAAATTTTTACAAAATAAATATTGCATATATGGTAAAATGTTAACCAAAATTCGGAGCTTAAGTATTTTGCTAAATAAATCCTATTTAATAACAGGTATGTTTTTTTACCTGTAATTTATTAATGCCTATGTTTAATCTTAAAGACGACTTATTGGTACAGATGCATCAAAATATGCAGTAGTTCAATTTATTCATTCATAAGTTATGTAAGAAACTGGACTTGTTAATGTTAGTGATGGTGTATTAGGACCAAAGAAAGATTTTTTTAAAGTAAGTTACAGCTTCTTAGAATTATTTTTTGAGCTAACATTCATCAATGTAGCGACGATGTTTCGTATATTTTTCACGTCTGTGTTTTGTAACAAGCTCTTGTTTAAACTGCACAAGTGTTTAATCATATGGGAATTAATTCAGACGTTTCGTTTAAAATTAGCAAACTTTAACAGCTGAGATTGATTTTACAGCATTCTGGGAAATATTCCGAACTGTGCAACTTCGCGGATTTTATGAAGACAGGTACAACACAGGTCAAGTAGTTCTCGAACTGTTGCCCATGCTTTTCACCTGGGATGTGGTTGTAAAAAGCGACACGAAGGGAACTGGTTAAAACGCGGAACGATAAATAACATAGAGATACATTTCTTTATTTTCGTGCATAATTTGATAATTTTTTAACAGGCAATATTTTGTTAGAGATGGTGGCATTTGTTATCTGCTTTGTTTTAAGCGTCACTAGTGCCACACGAAGAATACAAAAGTTCCGCAGTCATACTTAATTTGCTTGGCACATTTTTTTCTTTCTGTATAGGTATTGAGAATTTGTTACACTTTGAAAAGTAATAAGATGTCTTGTAATTTTAGATACGACGTACACCACTCTGCCATCTCGCGGGTGCAAATCGACGTGCGTGCTGGAATGTTTTATTTATTCTCCCAGAAAATTTGAATAAAACCTCATGTATGCAGCATTTTAAATTTAAGTACAATATTGTCACTAAACAAAATTTCATAGTTCATAGGTAAGTATTTTTGACTTTATCTTAGAAGATCTTTTAAAAATAACGTAGAGTGGATCAACTTAACCTTGGTACTAAAGAGCGGATTTTAGGATAAAAAAGCCAAAATAGGCCCTATATAGGCGATAAAAACGGAGGATTTAGAACCGAAAAATGGCAAAATAGGCGCTTTAGACAAGTTTTAGGAAAAATGTATTTTTCGCAAGGTTTAGTTTTCCTTGAAATCTACATTTATTTTATTATTTTACATAATTAGCTATTCTGATCTTCGTTAAAATTTGTATAACAAATTAATAGATATTTTTGTAGATTTTCGGCCTTAAAATTTTTGCTTTTGTCTGTTAGGACATTTTTATACGTAGAGAAATATCTCTTAACATCACACGATGGAGAGAATATTTAAAATTAAAAATTTCAGTAGGTTTCATTTTTAAATCTTTTTCTTCATTTTCGCCTTGTAATACTTCGCTGACAAGTTTAAGCTCTTAGTACCCGGTATTTTCTGGTAAAGTATTTTGCAGCTTTTTAAATGCCATTTCACTTACTCTCGTGGAAGACCCTCAGTATCTGAGGAAGTTGTTGATGATTTGAGACGACTTGAGCATCCGCAAACATCTTTGACAAAATTTCTTCGGCATTGAATAATTACAGAACATTTTTGAAATCAAGAAGAGAGTGAACATGTGCCTTGAAAAAATGGTGAACATTTTCAACATTTACTGTGATTTTTAACTAAACTATTTTTTTTTCTTTTTATTGTAATGAATCAGTTTTATTTTTTAAAAGGATATGAAGCATTTAGGCAACCAGTTATACAGATCCGTGTGGTATTTGTCATGCGTCCTTGGGCATTTACTACAGTTCAAATCTGAGAGGCGGCACGTTTACATGACCTACTGCGACCCTATAATCATTTATAGAAACCCTGTACAACTTTCATGTATTTGCCTACAACCAAAATGAAAAGGTATTTGCCCTAGAGTCGGCTCTTTAGTCATAATAGTAATGCGAATGTTGCCGGTTTAATCCTCCCATAGGCCATTTTTCTTTTTATATTGCGACTGGTCTTAATTAAGTAGGTACTTAACGTTTTTTAACTGGATTGGTTCTGTCTAATAGCATGAAACGGATTTTAGAAATTATTGATAAGCTACAATGGTTTTAACCTGTATAGTAAATCAAACTGAGTAGATAAGTATTTTTCCTCATTTTTATGTGTTGGAAGTTGAAATCTTTAGGGTCGTAAGAAAAATAACTAAATAAATAAAAATAAATTACAATAAAGAATGGGAAAAATACTTGCGTTCGTATTAATCTTTCTAACAAGTGCAAAAATTGTAGAAATGTGTGACGAAAACACATAACTTTATCTTCCTAACAGAATGTATTAACTATATATTCAAAGAAAAACTGGTTATGTTATTTAAAAGTAAAATATTTTCATTATTTGTGTGTATGTTGCTTACATATTTTATTTCTTTGTTTTTTTGTCTAGCCCTGTCGACTTTTAGGATAAAAGGGTAAAATATTTATAATTTATTAATACTGTTTCATAGATATGTGTCT